CCCAGCGCGAGTGTTCTCCTTCCAACCTCATCCCGGCCTGACCCGGACCATAGGTCACAGGTTCAGCGGCGCGCAAAGCCGCTCACCCGTCGACAACTGGCATAAAAAGCCGGTCATAGCTCTATCTAGCGACGGCGCGTGTCCGGCGCACATAGGCAGGGATTACTTCCAGCCCCTCTCGCCCCTGTTCCTTGTTCGGCGGGTGGCTGCCGAGTGGCAGTTTCAATCCAGTCCGGGAGGGACGCAACTAGGCGGCAGCGTTCTGGGGCTGGCCGACAGCGCCGGACGTAAGTGTGCACTGTGCAATGTGCATGTGAATGTGCACTGTGCTGTGTGTACTCGGGACGGGCCTGCGGCTCACGGGCTGGTGACCATGCCCGCGTCGACAGACTGTGTGTCTTTCGACGGCGCGGATGACGTCGGCACCGGCACCGAACTCGCAGACGCAAATATCGCCGTGTGGACCGACCAAACACAGTCGACCTGGGTGGCCGCGCTGGCGGCTCCTTCAATGCCGAGCTCGGCCACATTCGGAGTCGGTCCTGGGCGCGTCCGGCAGGTGACAGCCCCCGGGCGCGGTGCCGCCGCTAAACACACAGCCGCCATCGTGCGTGCATGCATACGGTGTCGTGTTAACGTGATGCGGAATAGAGCCGGGGTAATGCGGCATCGATAGATGCGCCGACCGCGTTTGGTGACTGCCAATATTTGCGCAGCTTTTAATGGCGGACGAATGCAGGCAGTGGTGTAAGGTCGGAGCGAAAGTGGCAAACATTTGATAATGGCAGTGCCCAGCGATGATGAGCCGGTTATGTTGGTGTCGCGTCTCGGCGATTCAAACCAGCAGGTGACAGCAATGACATATCCATTGTCCACGACTTCAATAGGCCAGCATGGGACGGGGTCAAAAGGTTGGTCATCAAGTCGAGTGGTAATATGTCAACGATGCTAGGCATGCGGCTGGTTAAACAGCTTCAGAGATAGGCAATCGTTGATGTCATGGAATGCGTGCGGGTTGGGGATGGAGTAGGGTGGGGTGGGGGAGGGGGAGAGGGTACTATGCTCAACATAGGGAAGTGACCTGACCTGACCCGAAAATGCAGTTGGTGTCAAAAGATCCGGCTTGAATCAAAGGTCAGGTATGCTAAGTTTCAGCTCCCTATTGCCAGCGTGTTCGGAGCTATCGCGAAAAACCTATGGGGGCGGCACCCGCCCCCCCCCCTCGGCTGGCGAGGGTTAAGATGTAAGCAATGAAGCTACCTACAGGCTTTCCGATGCATACTTATAAAATCTCGACATTACGATTCCACAAATTGCGCCTGAAATTTACTTGGCTAGAAGCTGCCTATCTCAAATCCAATCGAACTGTATGTAGATGCTGAGCAGTTAGACCAGCTGTGTAGGCATGATACACCGTTTTTCTGCTCATAAACCACATACTCCATTGAAGTTGAAGGGCTTTCCCAGGGATAAGGCTTGTAGGTACTGCTTGCACAACGAATCCAGCAATGATGATGGACTTCGAAAAAGCACCCAGTCTCAATGTGGGCTCGGGACTTTTTATGACGTGAGGTCACACCCGATACCAGGACCATGAAGTAACTGCAAACAATGTATGTTTGCGGCAAATTCAAGTAGCGGCACTCATGTGTTACGATTTTTGCGTTATGTCACAGGTGATAATTTCTGCTAGACTGTGGACTAAAACCGTCAGTATCCGTATAACGTGGGTTGGATGTTTTAGCTTCATCTGCAGGAAGTTTACAGCGTCAAACGGAGCCTCCTTCCTACTGGCAGGTAAAAGCTGCCGAAAGAATAATGTCTCCTTTTCACAGTCTAATAATGTTCATAACGTAGTATTATCGTGGCAGTATTAGCACATGCATGCCATGTTCAGTGTTCACATAGGTCCAAAAGCTCCAAATCATCTGATAAATCGAATAACGTAGATGACACAAAAACGTGTTTCTCTCTACATACATAGAAAAGAACGTTCTTATGCTTGTGATGCTTGTGATGCCTGTAACTTTTGAGCATACCTAAATAACGTCAGATAAATAAATGAGTGCTGCATCCAGTTCTAGACAGTTCACAAAGTAACTAATAACGATTGCAATGAACTCACATTGATTAGGGAAAGTGGTTAGGCTCAGAAGCAAATTGAGTTCATCAGAAGCAACTTACCTGCTTAGAAGTTCAACCATCATAATTCATAGGTATTTGCCGTAGACCGCTGGCTGGTGCAATCAGCGTCCAAACTCAGCTGAGTCCATGAACTCATGGAGCAATCACAATCGTCTTGACTCCTGCAATATCTTCACAGTCATTGGAGGCATCGTCATGATCATGGCATTATCACGCACCATGAATGATGCCATCACGTGCTATCACTGAATTATCACCATGCACTATATGCGCCATCACTGACATTAGTTATCGCACACCATCACCGTAATTTGCCATCATGCGCCTTCATTGTAGTTTATTAACAAAAAAAAACATAATTAACCTTCACTTCCATCACTACCCATCACTATTATCACCCACCGTCACGACTGTCAATATTTTCTACGATCACGCACCATCACCAAATGCGAGGCTTGCGCCCACTGTTTATGTCCAGCTCACAGCACGTTTCCAATCGCTGGTCTACTGCCAACTGGTCTGTGACCTGTGCCTTTGACCCCTGACGAGGTCGGGTCAAGGCCAGCTAATCACGTTATTGCATGACTGTTTCAGACACACTGCTGGGTGATCCGCGTGTTTCAGTCCATCTAAATCAGTCCAGTGCAATTCAGTGTCCAACGTCTTCTTAATTAAATTTAAATTTAAAATGACATAAATCCGTTCTACAAGCGAGACCAGCCTGAATCATCCATGCCAGTATTGATGCTGATATTTAATTACTGGAGGTATTCGTAAGAACTTAAATGACAATGTTGCTTTCAAACAAACAAAAGTCAAGTTCATCTGCTTAATTAATGTATTGGTAAACAAAATTGCAAATGATTATTGTTTGCGAAACGCTTTTCGAAACCGTTCACGTCATCGCAAAATCCGCAACGACAATATTAACATCAGTGCCCGGCTCTCCGGTAATCCATTCTCCAATCTGACCCCACCGCTCGGCTCTCAGCTCTCCGCAGTCCGGCTCCGGGGGACTCCTCCCCTTCCCTCCGGCTCCGGGGGACTCCTCCCCTTCCCTCCGGCTCCGGCGGCTCCCTGATTAGCTCCGGGCACCCGGCGGGGATACGCTCCCGGCCCCGGCAGCCTGCAATATGGCGCAGAATCGGCAGCAGCGCCGCGACTCTCCGCCTGCCATCTTGTTTTGGACGACGGACGGCAGCCCGCGGGCTCCCTTTGAAGCCGTGCAGCTTTCCCACGGGAGCGCAGCGTAGGCCGGCGTCAGTAATAGAAAATTAAATCAAAGCTAATTGGATGCAACTGGTAGCCCTCTGGGACGGGAGCTTTGTTAGAATTGCGTCGGTGACTCCATTGCATTGCCGTATGCGGAGCGGTAAGCACACTCGAGCAATATTTGATGGAGAGTCGACTCGACTGGCGCCAGTGATGTGGATGGAGGATGGAGGAAGAGGCATTTCAATCGGAGAGAGAGAGAGAGAGAGAGAGAGAGAGAGAGAGAGAGAGAGAGAGAGAGAGAGAGAGAGAGAGAGAGAGAGAGAGAGAGAGAGAGAGAGAGAGAGAGAGAGAGAGAGAGAGAGAGAGAGAAGAGAGAGAGAGAGAGAGAGAGAGAGAGAGAGGGAAGGAGAGAGGGAGGGACAGGCGAACAGAGCATGGGGAAGACGGGGAATGGAAGAGGGGGAGAGGAAAAAGAAGGAAAGGGACATTGCCAAGGAGAGACCAGTCGCTCCCCCACGATTTTAGGTTGGGTGGGTGGGAGGTCAAAAAGAAAAAAAGAAAAAAGAAATGCAGGCACCTTTATGCCTACACACAGCTTAAACCAAATTATTTGAAGGCGGCCCCTCCCCTCCCGGTCGTGAAGAGAGGCAAAGGACAAATGATAAGGAAGGGAGTGTGCCACTTTCCCGTCTTCCCACCATCGCACCATGCCAGCCCAGGCCCCAGGGCCACTTTCATCCGAGTCGAGATGGGCAGATCCGACCCCACCTCCATCGTCAGAAAGGTACGGCCAGCGCTGCATTCGGCGCCGTACCGATAAGGCGGGGCAATTTTCATTATGACACTGCACCGGAGCCGCTCGATTGAGCAAATAAGGCGGCGGCTATTCGCTTTATTGCCACACTGGCCCGATGGATAGATTGTGACAGTCTGGCCCAGCCTGTTCTGTGACGTGACAGTGTATCTGACAGGCCTGTGACAGTGGAAGTGTCAGCTGACAATTGTCAGTGAGTTATTTCCGAATGGTCAGATTAATAGTTCATGTGAAAGAGCTGCCAGATATGTAACTTGTTTTTTTTTTTCTCGTCAAACTGCCCTGAATGCCTCCGTATCTCAGCCCGTAAGCTCTAAGTCTGATTGTCGCCGTTCACGCCTTTTACTTTCACGACTATGACTGCTAAAATGTTCACTTGTAGCTAAATTATATAAAGGTGATAAACTAGTTAAGATAATTGGGTGATGACATCGTTGCATTCAAACGCAGTTTTTCAACAGCTCTTCACTATTGGGGAAATGAGTAAGTGTAGAGATACAAAGGTAGGCATGCCGATGTGCAATGGATTTGGAGATCCGATCACTGTCAGAATAAGGCTCATTTTCTAGCGGAGGTTTATCAGTCGTCTAAACATCACGACCAGAGCAGATTCGATTTCCAAATAACGGTAAACGTATTTTAGTCACCCAGGCAAAACATGGCTGGGGGAGGATTTTTGCTTTCACACTGTTGATGGGTTTTACATTGAACCTGCAATGCATGACCCCAGTTTCGAGAAAGTCGATCAATGATAACTTAGCGGAGTGATTCAGAGCATTCAATCTGCTCTGCCCACCGTAAAACCAAAACATACAAACAAACTTAAGTCGACGTCAATAGTTTTATTTTTAGTTATTGCAAAAATGATCAAGGTGGGCGGGTTTTACCCTCATTCAATGATGCAATATTGTCATAAGCAGTGAGGCGACTGAATCAACACGCAAACTGATCCAGCCCATCACCGCTAGGCGGCAGCACCTCCCACCCGATCCGGTGTGCCGCGGTCGGCCCGGCTCAGTACAGCGGCCAACCTGATAGGTGGCAGCACACGCAACTCGAATCCACCTAGATGACGCCACAATCGCGACTACATAGCACACCAGGCAGCATAACGGCACAACGCTCCGCTCTCGGCACCAACAACAACGTCTCACAGACACTTTTCCTGAACCTGAACGAACAGCCCTGCCACTTTCCCTCCCCCAGGCAGTCCAGTACCCTATCACCCGACCCCAGAGCGAACACTGACGGGTGGCGGCTGCCCTGCACGCGGGACGAACAGAGCGGGAGGGGGAGGGGTGCACTGGGCGACCACTGACTGACAGCGCCCAACGGGAACAAATGGGGAGCCAGAGCGCCAGGCCGTGCAGCACACGCAGCCGAGGGCCTCCTATTCACACATACAGGGGACACACGAAGAGACAGAAGGGTTTTGATTGTCGGCGGGTCACATGGGTTGGGCAGCAGGCGGGCGGACAGGCTCGCACGCTCATCGTATCGTGGGGATCTCGGAGTGCACAGTGAGGACTCTCGGCGTCACCCGGCGGCATTTGTACCTACGTTTGTTCAGGACATTATTGCGGTCGTACTCTCGGCTATTTGTGAGTGGTGAGACGCACGAGACGGCGGGTGCGATCGGAGACGTGGCGACACCAAATATACGCAGATGACGGCGGGAGTGGGGTGCTCAAAGTCGTCACGAGGGCTAGGCCCTGACCAATACTGTTGACCACCACGCAGGCAGCCAGATCTGAGTCAAAACAGCGGTGTTCCAGCTTCGGCCGTACTTCTGCACAGACCACAGTCCGTGCAGGACTGACCGCAGCCGCGCCGCCCGGCCCAGCTACAGCGCTACCGCACTCGCACACGACTACACTAGCGCCACCTACAACTACCGCCGCGCCCCTAGCGCCGCCTAGCGTCAGAGCGGGTCGTCGAGCAGGCGGCCGGCCGTCTCCGATGGGAAGAGGGCCGGGAGCTGCGGCTCGTCGTCGTGGGAGAGCATAGAGAGCAGCACGGACGATCCCCGGTCCGGCAGGCCGGCGAACAGGGACGGCGGCGCCGGCTGCCGCTCCGGCGTCAGACACTGCCGGCAGAACAGAAGCACGGTCAGGTAGGGGAGCAACTCGCGACGAGCTCCTAGCATACAATGCGAGTTTCCGAGTGCACTTAATACACATACTTGACAGATGGTTCAGTCTTTTTTTTCATGGGACATTACAGTGACTCAGTCAAATTAGCAGCACCGTTGAATGGCGACAGATTCACATTCAGGCTCCAAACAATGCAACGGTGCCGTCAATCATCAATGCGCGGCTATGGCCGTCGAGCCATGCGGCACAGTATACCTTCAGGCGTCTACTACTAGTGACACCTAGCGGCCGGGACGGTAAGTTCAAATCCGCGTGGTATGAGCGGCGCTGTTTTAGCGAATATGGTTCATCTGTTTTGGCCAAACCAGTCCATCCAATGAAAACAAATAATTGATTTAGATTGGTAGCAAAAGTAAATGTGAAGGAAATGCCTGCACCTTTATATCGATACTTCATCGGCTACCTAGGCCAAAGCCACTACACGTCACTACAGGTCTGAATAGGTATACCAACATTTGCCGAATTCAAATTTGAAGCTGACAGCTGTTGGGATGGTAGCTAGCAGCGTGTAGCTGGACTCTGCATAAAGCAGCTATGAAATTTATTTGTTCAACGACTATAACTACTGACGACGCAGTGATTTGGTACTGTTCGTTCAGTTGTATGTATGTATGTATGTATTGACCATCAAGAGCAATCCACAATCGGCGTGGCGATTACACTCCGAGTCCGAGCTGGTTGAAGATAACACAAGAAATAGGTACCTACACAAGAAAACGCACACACTTACGGATACGAAATACACAACGCGAACGCCGAACACGCACATAGGTACTAGGTGTAACCCGCACGAAGCCGCGTTCATAACTATGTACACACAGACTCGTTTGCCTTTCATAGTCCAAGAGTCATGAGGCTAGCTACTATGGCTACTCTGGCTAGGCTTAAGCCCCTTTTTTACAGCACGGGCAAATCTGGCTGGAGGCAACTGCGTTAGCTCGAAGGGGAGAGTATTTAGGAGCGCCGCGGCACGGTAGGCGAATCTACGTTTTCCGGTCTCTAGTCGGGGTCGCGGTAAGTGGAAAAGGTGGTCTTGGCGAGTAGACCTTGCTCGTGTTTGGGAATTTTTGGAAAATAGGGTCGCGATCTCCTCGGGTTCACCTCTCTGGATGGCCTTGTGCGCCGTGATAAGGGTATGGTATTCAGCCATTGTTTTAGGTGCCATCCAGCCGAGTTGGTCCCGGAGATGGGAGACATGATCAAATTTACGGCGACCGAAAATGACTCTAGCGGCAAAGTTAAGAATTTTCTGAATGCGATCGAAGTTCTTTTGGCTACCATTACCAAATACGGAGAGACAGTACTGGATCCGTGACATGACGAGAGCCACCACTAGTGTCTTGGTGACACCGTCGGGGAGGTAGTGGCGGACATGGGAGAGGCCAATTAGGAGACCCGTGCATCGGCGACTGAGCTCGGACACATGCGCGTCCCAGGACAGGGTGCCGTCGAAGATAACGCCCAGGTTGCCCACCTGCTTGCATGGCACTAGTTTGGTGTCGCGAAAAGAAACGGTGAAAGCAGGTATGCTTCTCAAATTTTGCCGACTGCCGAAAACCATGAGCTGAGTTTTAGCAGTGTTTACTTTAAGAGCATTTGCACTGAACCAATGGTCGAGAGACGCCAGTGACGCTTCCAAGCGCGAGATGAGTCCCCTAAGGTCGTTTAAAGGGCCACTCACCAACAATTGAGTATCATCAGCGTACTGGAAGACTGCTGCATCCTCAGAATAAAGTGATAGATCATTGGAAAATACCGTGAAGAGTAAGGGACCGAGTGCCGAGCCTTGAAAGACGCCCATAGAGTTGGGGAGAGGTTGTGATAATACCCGGCGACCGGACTCGTCCTTCAATGACACACTCTGTGTGTGACCCTGGAGATAAGCGGCGAACCAGGATGTCTCTATGCCGTGCATTGCCAATTTAGCGAGCAATAACTCATGGTTGATGACATCAAAACATTTGCTTAAATCAATAAGGCATAGCATAGAGACATCCCCCCTATCGGTGGCGGCCAGGATTTGGTCACTGACGGACAGAAGTGCTGTCTCAGTTGAGTGCCGGGGTCGGAAACCGTGCTGGGTATTGGCCAGAAAATGGTTTTGGGAGAGATAGCGATAGAGCTGTTTGTGAATGACTCGCTCGACCACCTTCATAATGACAGGTACTAAGGAGATAGGTCGAAAATTAGTGGGATCAGATGGGTTTCCAGACTTGAAGATGGGGTGAACTATAGAGTGTTTCCAATGAAAGGGGATATCGGACCTTGAGATGCAAGTGTTAATGATGTGAAGGATAACGTCACCGATAGATGGGAAAGCAGTTTTCAGCATGCGAATGCAGACGCCATCAGACGCACAGGCGGCAGAATTGCGCATATTGAAAACGGTGTGACCGAGTTCACCGAGAGAGATAGGTCTGGGCTTAAATCTACCGGTTACGACACGCGGCAAACGGCCAATTTGCTCAACAACTGGATTTTGGTCACGGATCTCTGTAGCGACGCGGGGACCCACAGAAACGAAAAAAGAATTTAAAACGTCAGCCGATACATCAGGTTGAACACTAGGTCCGTCTTTCTTACCAGCCACAACCGACCTAATACTTTTCCACACCTTGTTGGGACCCCGCCCACTAATCTCTCTGTGAAGTTCGCCGCGTCGGTCTCGTCGCACTGCGGCCCGGACAGTTCGGTTTAAGTCTTTGTAAACCTCCGACTTTCTACCGAACTGCTGTAACGCGGTACGACGTTGATCCATGATTTTAAGTGTGGCGGGGGTAACTGGTGGTGCTGTAGGATTACGGATGGTAATATTCTTTATAGGTGCGTGATCGTCAAAAATCGGCAGAAATTCGGTCAGGAAAGCATCCCACTGGTCACTTACGTTCGTGGCACTAAACACGCCCTCCCAATCGGCAAACATCAGGTCAGAGTTCAGGGCATCGACATCTATACGGTTGATCGAGCGGGATTGAACAACTGTAGGATTTTTTGCGTTGTTTCGGAACGTTAATAGACACACGAAGGAGTTTGTGTGGGCTGAAGTGGCAAAAGGATGCAGAGCAATCACGCACAAGCTCTCTATTTTTAACCATACAGACGTCTAGCAACGAGCCGGAAGTGTACGTTGGAACGGTTACAAGCTGCTCAAGAGAATAATTCGATAAAAAGTCACTGAGGTGTACACGCGCACGAAAACTCTCCTCCTTCAACATATCACAGTTTAAATCGCCACAGATCATAAATGGAATCTTGGGAAAATCAATTAATACACGCTGTAACTGCGTCTCGAGGTCCGAAAAGTCAGCTCGCAGAGCGGCATCGGTCTGTCGGGGCGGCCGGTACACAGAGCAAACAATTAACTGGCGATTTCGTTCGAGCTTGAACAACATCCACCGGGTTTCCAGGAGACTGCCGGGGTGCGGGGATGTGCTCGGTTTGATGGTCACAGTTTTCATATCCGTTTTTGACAGTACGGCGACCCCGCCGTAGCCGCTGCCGTCTGGTCGGTCGACTCGGCTGAGAGAGTAGCCGGGAATCACGAGAAGTCGATTTGGAGTAGAAGGGCGCAGCCAGGTCTCGGCCAGGAGGCAGGCGTCGAAATCGTGACGGTTTAGTTCTTCGGTGAGTTCTAGTAGTTTTGGCTTCAGGCTTTGAATGTTCAAAACGCCGATCAAAAGACCGGTGTTTGCTGTCTTTGTGAGCCGGCGGGTTTCCGAGATGGTGAGTCGGGCCGGTTGGGTGAGGGTTCTGTGACTGGGCTCCTCTGGTGCGCGGGTCGTCGCGCGGTGCTGCCGGCCGGACCCACATACGACACTGATTGATTGGTGTGCGTGAGCTCTGGTACGGCGGATCAGGTGAGACAGACGAGGGGGTAGGCTGACCCTGATCCTCTCGGTGACGTCACTAGTCGCGTCGTCCCAGCTGAGCAGTCTGCGGACTGCCAGCAGCTGTTCCCGGTCATACTTGGTGTTAGTAGAGTAGTACCGGGAAAATCGAGCAGAACTTCCGACTGAGTAGAGGTAGAGTTGATCTGTTTTCACGAATACATACAGTGAAGAAAACCGCAAAACTTGAGTCGGTTGGTCGTAGGCAAGCATCGGAAAGTAGTTTTCAAATATGACTTCGGGCGTTAAATATGACTTCGGGCGTTAGCTGCCCTCTCGCAGACCACGGCTTGACAGAGAGATATGCGAATAATTCTTGGACTTACAGTTCTGGAGAGTGGCCACAAAGATGCAGAAGGAGATTACGAGCACTCCGATGCCAAATTTCACAGCCTGTACACGAAATTTCTCCACAAACGATACGAAAAACTGAGGAGCGCCTGGGGGTCGCCTGTATAGCGCGCGCGCCCAACCTCACCTCGTTTCCTTATTTTCGCCCCTTTTTTACAGTTCTGCGAGAGACAGCTAGACTCAACACTACTCTCAAACGACACCAGCCAGATTCGACCCACTCTCACAGTAAGTTCATTTCACGCTGACCTTCTCAAGGAATAAGATCCCGAATCTCTTCCTTGGAATTATTGAGAGCTATGATGTGCGACGTTTGATACGAATAAGTCCAAGGAACAAATTAAATAAGGAAACTATAAAATAAATAAAAAATAAGGAAATAAGGAAACAGTATCGTGGGTCGATATAATCAACTCCGATGTAGCGTTGACTTCATGGCTTCACTCTTCTTGGCATGAGACTGGAGTGAGGGCGGTCAAAGCCCCTGAACCATCCCACAGGGACCGTAGGACTAGCAGTGAGCCACCACGATGACCCGACGAGAGCCCTGAGGACGATTTGTTCAAATTCGGAGCCTGAGCTGGGTCGTGACATCGGATCCAGTAGCGAGTACCCTATATTCCGACCCGGCCCGTCGATACAAATAATCGATGTATACTGTGCAGTTGGACAACCATGGGGATTTCATCATCAGC